GTGCTTCAAGTCCACAGTGGGCTAATTCATGCCATTCTTGTCTTGCGGAAAGGCGTTGAAACAATGTTCAAGAGGATGAGAAGAAGAATAGGTCCCAACTCTTAGGTCCACACCAACAAATTCCCGAGTTCGCCTCACGAGCAGGTGCATTCAGCTTTTGTTTGGCTGCACATAGTGCGCGGAAATCACGACATCGTTGTCGCAGTACGTATCCGAAAATTATTGTGGGGCTAGTGGAAGTAGAAGACACTGCGGGGTGAGTATCAGTCTTATAATAGCAGTTATTGGTTATTTACTAGTTGAAAAGCCTCAGCCAAGACCCCTCTGGTACGACGGAAAGGTAAGGGATGTGGGAAGGGTCTTATTTAACGCGTCCTTCATGGCTTTTCCTACTGTTCGTTTGTCACAGCGAGAACTTAGAAGTTCCCTCTATCCAACTCATGCTACTGCTCTTACTCAGAATAAAAGCATGCGAGCACGACAAAGACAGGCACGCTAGCAAGTCTCTGGAAAACACGTAAAATCGCCCTACGACGCTGCAGGCAACAAGAGCGCAACAAACAGCCGCATCATCCAGCCGTCCTCGTATGGCTAACTCCCGGTAAGGAATAAGTCGTAAGATTCTGACGTCCCCACCACACATGTTTGAGTGAGGGAAGTGATACACTCACTGGGACTGCCAACACAAGCTGACAAGCTCAAATGCGCAGAAGAAATCTACTGATGAGGTAATCACAAGTAGTATCTTTAACAGTTCTCCTCTGGAATCGAATCCAGTTCTTTGCCAGAATATTTCAATATCATCAATCCCCTCTTGTAGACTTATCACTGAAAATTGCGCTCGATTTCTGAACGGGTGCATAGGGCGCAGGAATGTTTTTAGAGCTGGTCCTACACAGACCGCTTTTTTATTGCCAAGCAATCAATTTCCGTAACGGAAAAAAACTATAATGTACCTGTCTAGATGTAGTACACTGAATCCAGAACGCGAACATGCGGCTGCAATTATCGATTCCGTCAATCCAGTGCCGAGCACGATTACGTCCACACTATCCGGTAGCGATTCACTCATGGTTCTGCACGAAAGAAAAATCGATTTCAATCAATACACATACAGTGACACTTGTCTTCAAGTACAGACGAGAAATACATCTATCGAACTCGAAAACGGTTGTATATAAAACTTTATTATTTCGAAAATCAATGTTGAGTACATTTACCTTGGCACTACATGACATTCACAAAAAAATCAATAAATCAATAGAGGTGCAATAGTCTGAAATGGAAGGTCTTGTTTACAGACTAACATAATTCATGCACCAATGACACCCGTTAGAGGTGTACCACATTGGAATTAATGGGAATTAGGCCACGAACATTACAAAGTATTTTGGACCACAGCGAAGTCAATAGAATAAATCAATAAAAAATCAATAAATCGTAGAGAACCGATCGATTTTCACCAATAGAATATTGCATTCATTTACAACAACTTCAAAAACTATGCACTGGAATGAATTTGGTCTGTTGACTACGAACTATTGCTGCGCTAAGCCACGCCCCTTGCGTATTAATCTGCACAGTTTCTGAAGCGTTACCCCATTAAATTTGGACTCCAAATGAAAAATCCACTAAAGCTTCAGAAGCTAAAAAGACACATCACTAACACAACACATCGAAACTGGTTGGACCCTTAATCAAAGGCGATTACCAGTGAGACTTTATCACGGTCTGAGCAGTATGTTACTTTGCTTGTACCATCGATTCGGTTGAATTCGCTCATAGTATAGCATGTAAGCTTGAGCGGAAGCCACTTGGGAGTAAGGTACTCGTTTAACCTGAAAATACGTGGTTGTAAGTAGCCGAATTATTCCTCAGCAGCTGATCCTACACTTTATTCTGGATAAAGATACACACTGTACACTCCCTGCTTGGGATTTATTCCTTGCCATGGGCCAGGTAAGTGGGTCCGCAGCTGGTGTAAAGTGCCACGTTTTTCGTTTAAATGTGCACAGGAATAGATCTGAGTGTTAGTGGGGTCCAAGTGCCATTTCGGACTCCACCCGCGCTGCTGCACGGGCAGCCACGCGCCTAAGCATAACCAAACGCTCCTGTTGTCTGGGCTCTCTCAGTTCTAGTTGTTCTCTACCATTCGGTGTGTATTTTGCTGCAGGACCGGAATGTTACGCTGCTGCAACAGCGGACCTATACTCCTTGCATATGGCAAGGAATGGCAAGCGCCGTCCTCGCAGGTGACTGAATCGTTTGTCTTCAAGGCAGTCAAGGAGGCTTACCGCGGTGCGGCCTCCTTGTTCTTATGCACCTCCCCGCCCCAGACAGTCACCACCTTACTGTCGAAAGCTCAGGCTCGGAGAGTGCAAACTGTTCAAGTGGGCAAGGCTAAGTCTGAACGCTCCTTACCATAAGCACCCTACCCCCAATAAAATTTTATGTTAACACCTCACCTTCGCATCGTTAGTAAGATGCCACGTATAGGGATCGTGGATCCCTCGTCGATACGTCACAAAATGTCCACTTTGTGGTACACCACGATGTTCGCTCACTGCACGTAATTGGTATTTGTAGCGAGCCGACTCCCGACGTTCTGCCACAAATGAACCACCACTGAAAGTCAGGGTATCTTTTGTCAGATGTGATGTACCGATCAATACGATCCAGTACAACTTAGTTATTGAATTTTTTGATTATTTATATCCAATTATTTGATTATTATTTATATATTTATATGCACTTGCTCACGAGTAAATCTAGTTACACCAAGCAAATACTGTAAATGCCAAGTAAATATTGGACTCCTATCCGTTTGAATATTGTTGCCGGGAGGGTCAAAAAAATACCTAACAAGCTTCGTAGGCTCGGACATCAGGCGGTGAGCTCACAACTAGAAATTAAGTAGGAGCAAAGTTCCCGTTTTTTTTTGTTCTACGTCAACGACACTTTCCATAAGTCTTCTTGTATATTTGCACTCGCCAACCTGTGTTATGCAATGCGAACAACCAGCATTCGTTGCGGACGCCGGAGCATTCCAGGGAGCTAGGTTTGGAGCGGCGCCAGCCTTTTTTTCACCAATTACGGATACCTGCCACTTCCCACAACTGCAGGAGAGAGGGCTGGCACAGCGCCAAACCTAGTCCCCCCTGAAACGCCCCAGCCCATTCTGTTCTTAGCTTACAATGCATAAAGAACTCACTCAATGATTCCATATGGTGACGCAAGCCCACTCGACGATGGCCTTCTAGACAAAGGATGTTCGTTTCCAGCAGCACCGCCTACTATTCGTGAAGTTGATTCGGGCCGCCGCGCCGCTGTCAGGTTATATTCAGTCTGGAACATACAACCTTATCGTAACGCGCAAAAGCGACTAATACCGTCGTACACAACTACAGTATTGCGACGTACGACCTGCCACAACAAGAACTGGAGAACAAAAAGAAATTATGAAGCAATATCTATGAAACCAGTGTCGGCTCAAAGGCATGGTCGATATTATTTTTCAATTTTCCAGACTAGTCTGCGGCCATGAACTGACCTCTGCTTAATAATGAATTACTAGTACATGGTTCGTTGCAAATAGTCAGAGCGGATTTCAAGAGGAATGGAATGAGTAATTTAGGGTGTTTTCTAGCACTGACCCTTTTTTCCAGTCGCTGTCTTATTACTACTGGCAGCAAAGGCAGCCGGGGCAGGCTCCTTCCCACCCCTTCTGACACCTCTCCCACTTATTGCAAGGGTATCAACTATAGTTAGCTTCGAAAAGATTCCAAAAACGCTGCATGCGAAAAGTAAAAACCCTGCGTTTCGTGGCATATACCATTGAACGGTAAAGGGAGAGAGCCGATGCTGACTAGGCCACGGGTTCGGCAACAAAATTATAATATTTTACAAAATTAACTGGAATTTTTGTAAAATTGTAAAATTTTTATATTGATTTGGCCCGCACAAAAATTTGCAAAGGCCAGTCGAGTTCTAATTCGTTTTCGACGTTTGGTATCAATTACCCATCACACCGCAGGTAGTCAATCTGAGATTTGACCCTGCATCAGTAGGCGCAGCAAGCGAGGCTACTTGCTGCTAGGCCATTTACGTCTAGCCAAGAAGTCATACATACTTTGAATTCATTTGGTTGGACAAAAATGTTGTTCTAAAACCTGGCAAAATGCGTCGTTGTCGGTTTTATCCATTTAATGTCTCGATTTCTTTGATCCCTCCAGAATTTCTAGTTTTTTCTTAACGAGCAAATAGAACTCATGGCTGGTACATTTCTCATAACACTCCATGTTCGACCGTCCATTGAGACTTGGCATAGTGTGTGGTCTTCCAGGCTCTGACGAGCGACTAGCCAAAACGTTGATCCAATAAAGTGAAGTGAGTGGCATGGATGCGATTACAGAAACTCTCTGTAGACAAGACCGCACACGAAGCCAAGCTGATAGAATGTTGAGAGGTTTCCACTTCGCTTACGAACACCTTTTTTTGAGTGAAAGATTAGGGGCGTTAAGATGTTGTCGTCTTGCACTGCTCAAATTTATCTATCGGACGCAACACGAAATATGCCTAGCAGCTTAGCTAACATCAAACCAGTATTTCCAAGCATTCTGCAAATAAATTAAAAAAACAAAATCCATCAGAACCAGTAACGCGCCACGACGACACGCGCCTTGCTTTGACCATGCCGACATGGATGTTTAGTAGAGAAAAGGGTTCAGTACGGTTACAAAGAAGGTTTGAAAATTTGAAATCTTCCATAGCGATGAAATTTTGCAAGTTTCATTTTCAACCACTTTTCCTCACAAAGAAACAATATCCTTCAGGCTTCTGCACAAATATACATTTTCCTGCTTTGCGATCATTCCTTCGCACCTTCCTGCATTGAATATCGCCTAGCAAAAGAAAATAAAGAAGAAATGGGGGGGGGGGGGGGGAGATATGGAGCTCTCAACACTTCGTTGCTTCACCATAACTAACAGGTCTTCACACGGTCTCAGGATATCTGTCAACCGCGGGCCTTCGTCCTCCTTCCTTTTCTTTCCTCCTTCTTTCTTTTTCTTCCTTCCTTCTCTCATCCTTCTTCCTTATTTTCCTTCCTCTAAATGCTCGAACAGAAGATGCGATGAGAAAACACCTCTGGACCCTCACAGCGAGACAGCATCCGGTTGACAGATGCCTTGTAACCAAAATAAACCGGCATATAGACAGTACAGAACAATTTGCCCCCCCCCCCTCATCTGCTCGAACTTTCATGAGGAAAATGAATATTAGAAAACCCACTTCTTTGTTTCGGTAGAAGCATAGATCCCGAACGTCGAGTGTTTCACCAAATTCCACATGATCGGCTAGTTTAAATTCATTTCCAGACGGTAACACACCGACACGTTCAATGCGAATAATCAGCGATTGTGGCAACTGAAAGCAATTGATTGACTTACAAAACAGCAGAAGAATCGAGAAAATGATAATAATTGAACATAAATGTCTGTTTGGACACACTACTAGAAG